TTCAATACAGTACTTGAAGTTCTAGCCAGAGCAATAAGACAACATAAGGAAATTAAGGGGATAAATTGAAAAGGAAGAATTCAAGCTTTCCCTATTTGCAGATGACATGATAGGGTACTTGAGTGACGCCAAAGATTCAACCAAGGAACTGATACAGCTTATAAACTCCTTCAGCAACATAGCAGGATACAAGATCAACTCAAAAAAAATGGTAGCCCTCTTATATACAATTGACAAACAGGCTGAGAAGGAAATCAGACATAAATCACCGTTTACAATAGCCACAAATGATATAAAATACCTTGGGGTAACACTAACTAAGCAAGTGAAGGACCTATATGACAAGAACTTTAAGTCCCTGAAAACAGAATTTGAAGAAGATGTCAGAAAATGGAAAGATCTCCCATGCTCATGGATAGGAAGGACTAACATAGTAAAAATGGCAATTTTTACCAAAGGCAATCTAGAGATTCAATGCAATCCCCATGAAAATACCAACACAATTCTTCACAGACCTGGAAAGAATAATACTCAACTTATATGGAAAAACAAAAAACCCAGGATAGCCCAAAAAATCCTGTACAATAAAACAACCTTTGGTGGCATCACAATCCCTGACCTCAAGCTCTACTATAGAGTTACAGTAATAAAAACAGATTGGTACTGGCATAAAAACCGACATGTGGACCAATGGAATCTAATTGAAGACCCTGACATTAATCCACACATCAATAATGAACATACAATTTTTGACAAAGAAGCTAAAAGTGTACAATGAAAAAAAATCATCTTCAACAAATGGTGCTGGCATAACTGGATATCAATGTGTAGATTGCTGCAAATAGATCCATATCTGTCACCGTGCACAAAACTTAAGTCCAAGTGGATCAAGGACCTCAACATAAATCCAGCTACTCTGAACCTGCTAGAAGAGAAAGTAGGAAGTAGTCTTGAATGCATTGGCATAGGAGATCACTTCCTAAATATAACACCAGTAGCTCAGACACTGAGAGAAACAATCAGTCAATGGGGTTCTTGAAACATGAGAAGCTTTTGTAGAGCAAAGAATATGGTCAACAAGGCAAAGCGACAGCCTACAGAATGGGAAAAGGTCTTCACCAACCACACATCTGACAGAGGACTGATATCCAAAATATATAAGGAACACAAGAAATTATACATCAAAATGCCCAACAGTCCAATTAAGAAATGGGCTATAGAACAAAACAGAGAATTCTCAACAGAGGAAACTCAAATGGCTGAAAGATATTTAAGGAATTGCTCAACATCCCTAATCATTAGGGAAATGCAAATCAAAACAACTCTGAGATACTACCTTACGCCTGTCAGAATGGCTATGATCAAAAACACTGAAGACACCTTATGCTGGAGAGGATGTGGAGCTAGGGGAACACTCCTCCACTGCTGGTGGGAATGCAAGCTTGTACAACCATTTTGGAAATCAATATGATGCTTTCTTAGAAAATTGGGAATTAATCTCCCCCAAGATCCAGCTATACCACTCTTGGGCATATACCCAAGGAATGCTCAATCATTCCACAAGGGCACTTGCTCAGCTATGTTCATATTAACATTGTTTGTAATAGCCAGAACCTGGAAACAACCTAGATGCCCTTCAACTGAAGAATGGATAAATAAATGTGGTACATATACACAATGGAATGTGTACATGGTATATACTCACTCATAGGAGGATGCTAGATGTGGAACAAAGATGACCGGACTGCTACTCACAACACCAGGGAGGCTATCTGGAAAACAGGACTTCAAGAAAGACACGGGGATCTCCCAAGGACAGAGAAATGGATGAGATCTACATAAGCAAACTTGACGTGAGAGGGGGTAATGAATGTAAGGGTCGAGGGAAAGAGAGCTTAGGGGAGCTGGGGATCCAGCTGAATCAAGAACAGAGATGGAGAACAAGGAATAAAAGACCATGATAAATGAAGACCCCATGGGAATAGGAAGAAGCAAAGTGCTAGAGAGGCCCACAGAAATACACAAAGATACCCCCACAATAGACTTCTGGCAATGGTTGAGAGACAGCCGGGACTGACCTACTCTGGTGATGGGATGGCCAAACACCCTAATAGTAGTGCTAGAAACCCCATCCAATAACTGAGGGTTCTGGATGCAGAGATCCATGGCCAGGCCCCGGGTGGAGCTCCGGGAGTCCAGTTGGTGAGAAAGAGGAGGGTTTATATGAGTGAGAATTGTTGAGACCAAGGTTGGATAAAGCACAGGGACAAATAGCCAAACGAATGGAAACACATGAACTATGAACCAATGACTGAGGGGCCTCCAACCGGATCAGGCCCTCTGAATAGGTGAGACAGTTGATTGGCTTGATCTGTTCGGGAGGCATCCAGGCAGTGGGACCAGGTCCTGTGCTCATTGCATGAGTTGGCTGTTTGAAACCTGGGACTTATGCAGGGACGCTTGGCTCAGCCTGGGAGGAGGGGACTGGACCTGCCTGGACTGAGTCTATCAGGTTGATCTCAGTCCTTGGGGGAGGCTTTGCCCTGGAGGAGATGGCAATGGAGGGTGTACTGGGGGGGAGGGGAGAACAAGGGAATCTGTGGCTGATATGTAGAATTAAATTATTTTATAAAATAAAATAAAATTTTAAAAAAGAAAAAAGTGTGTTGTTTTGCATATCACTGAAACAAACAGCAAAATATTTGTGATTCAATAAAGAGATAGACAAGGAAATGTTATGAAAACAGAGGATAGGTCTAGTTCAAACTGTAGAGGGAATTGAAAAGGACAAAGGTAAAAAAAAGTAGTTATGGAAAGCAAATCCTTGATTATCACAGAAATTTGATACCAGGGGCTGGAGAGTTCCTTTAGTGGTTAGACGCACATCCTGCTCTTCTGGACCTGTTTTTTTTTTTTTTATGGTGAAAAAGTATATTTAGAATTAGCCAGCTGGATATAGTTTAGATGATCCCAATTTTGTTGGCAACATCCAGAGCATCATAGTCAGGAGCCAACCGAACATGCACCTTCTTCTCTCCATCAGGCCTTATGAGGGCATTGACTTTGGCCATATCAATGTCATAGAATTTCTTCACAGCCTGTTTGATCTGGTACTTGTTGGCCTTGACATCCACAATGAACACAAGTGTGTTGTTGTCTCTATCTTCTTCATGGCTGACTCAGTGGTCAGGGGGAATTTGAGGACCTGAGTTTTAACACAGCATCCATGTCAGGCAGCTCACAACCACATGTAACCCCAGCTCCACATCATTGGGCACTCATCGGCACCTGCACTTACATGCATATCTCTATGCAGACACACTCACATGCATAACTTAGAAAATAAGGTAAAACTTAAAAAGTGAAAATTGGTATGGTGTTAAATGCTTTTGTTCATTAGCAATGGAGCTTATAAAAATATAGATCTGATGTGAATAAATAGTTCTTTGGGCTGAGGATTAGTTTATAATGAGTGCTATCCACAAAGTGGAATTATTGTGCCGGGCAGTGGTGGCACATACCTTTAATCCCAGCACTCAGGAGGCCGAGCCAGGCAGATCTTTATGAGTTCGAGGCCAGCCTGGTCTACAGAGCGAGATCCAAAAGAGGCACAAAGCTACACAGAGAAACCCTGTCTCGAAAAACCAAAAAAAGAAAAAAACCACAAAGTGGAATTATGCCTTGGCAGAGGTATTGAGGTATGAAAAAGGAATAAGGGAAATAGGCCTAGTTCCAACAGGCAAATCCTGGTATATCACTAAGAAGAAGCCTGGCAAAGGTGTAGTGTACATTTGGCTTTAAGACTGTCCTGTTTGCCAGGAATGATGGTTTCTCTTCCTATCGTTCCTTTTCTTCATTTTTCTTTTGCAAAATTGCATATATATTCTTTTCTCTATTCAGAATATTTATGTATTTTTAATCTACAACATAAAGATCATGTTATTATATTTGTATGCACCTATACAATATACTTAATCATATCCATTACAAATATAACCTTCCCTTCTCCTCTTTCCATCTTCTGGTGGTCATATTTCTCTCCAAATTGTCCTTCCTTCTATGTCCACGAATTCTTACACTTAAAAGTGGAGGTGATATTGGCATTTTCAAGTCTTGCATATTTTAAATAACAAGATGATTTTGAAAAATAGATGCATACAGAATATGTTCAACAACTACATTTTTGTCACGTTAAATAAATCTTAATACATTTTGTTTCTTGGACGTCTCAGAAAATCTAAGTCATACTGAGTGAGTGGTTGAAGAAAATATAAATATTCTTTAAAATTAAAAGGTTTTGGTTAAATTTGGAGTTGCAATTAAAATAGATCTGCAGGTCTACTGAAATTGATATATATAAAACCCGATTTGCTGTAATATATTAGAACTTGATGGAAAATCTCTAATAATATTGATATTCAAAGCCTCTTGGAATTTTATATTATAAAACCTTCTCCTTATTCCAAGATATTTACACATTTTTCATTTTTAATCTTATGGCTGAAGGAAAAAAATATGCACTTTGCAATTTATAGTACACAAAATATTTTGTGTGTTTTAACGGAAATTAAGGTCATCCTAGCTGGGAACGAAGATGGTTAAATTCCTTTGTTCTGCTAAAAATTTTAGACAGTATTATTTTACACATAGTACCTGGATAACAATAAACAGTTGCTCTGCAGCATATATTAAAAACAAATTAAGTTTTCAAAATACTTACCAGGCATTGCTTTGTTTTGAGAGCATAATTTTTTTTTTTTGTGAAAAAGTCTTTATTTTAAGAAAAAAATTTAGTTAACAAAAAATTTAACAAGTTTCACTTAGCAAAATACACCCAAAAGGAAATCACAGTACAAAGAAAGCTTTAAGTCAAGGCCTCACCAATTCCTACAGTATTAGTATTGTGTCTCAATTCTCAAAACTAACTTTTAAAAAGCTTAAACTTAACCTAAAGATTTAAATGAAAATATAAACTAGAATGAACATGAGAAATGCTTCTCTTTGCATCAGGGATCTAGCACCTTTGAGTTCTCCAGAAAAGTACATGTCCCCAGTGTGTTCACTGTGGTGTGCTTTAAGATCCACTCAACATACTTAAAACTACTCAACTCAGATAACATCACTCCTTAAGTATACTACCAAAAATGTTAATTGAGAAAAGCGGAAGAAAATAGTTTTAGTTTACTCAATATTACATGCTAGAAGAAAAGTTTGCATGAGAAACACTGAAGAGGTAATTTTTTAATCCAGATTTCACAAACTCATGGTGCAATGTGGGTCCCCCCAGCTTCCTCTAGAGTTATAAACTGCTCTTGACTGCTTATTGGCTGCCTGTGAAATTTTGATTGAAATAACTCAAATGCTCCTACAATACTAGTCATATCCACCCATGCTGTTTTGACCGCTGTAGCTGGCCCCATAACAGCCACTCACTGACTGGCTCTCCTGGCCACTGTAAGTCGCCTGGGCAGCTGACACTCCCATGCCCTGCATCACCTGGCTGCTATAAGCCCCATTGCTAGCCCCTGTTGTTGAATTCAGGAAGAGTTCTATGTATCTGTGCTGCATGTTGGCCCTGTCCTTCGACATAGCTGCCACTGCTTCTTCATGGGTGGCAAACTCAACATCAGCTTCTCCCGTCACTCTTCCATCAGGACCAATCTCAATATGAACTCTCACGGGGTTGAGTGGAGAGAAGAAGTTGTAAATGTCGTTCTCCGTTGCTTTGTAGGGCAGCCCTCTCATGTGGACGCAGTGGCCGGTGGTGCTCTGCACTGTGAACTCGCTGTCTCCGTATCTGTGGTCATACATTCCTGAGAGACAGTAGCTGAGGTCTCTCCCGAACAGGTCAGTGGTGAAGCCATAGCCATCACTGAGGCCACTGTATTCTTCATAGCCCCCATAGCCTGCACTATAGGCACCAGACCTCATCCTATCCAAGCCTGCCTGTTTCACAATGCCAATGTACCTCCGGGCTGTGCCAGGCCGGTCATAGGGCCCAGGCCTCTGCACAGACATAAACTTCAGAGGTGGATCTGAGTATGACCTAACTTCCTCCTGGCTGCTCTTGAACACTTCGATATACCTGTGTCCTATTCTCTCCTTGTGCTTCCCCAGAGCTTTCTCAGCTAACTCTTGTGAGGCAAACTGAACGAAGGCCTCCCCTGTAATCTTGCCTTCTGGGTCCACAGGTAATGTGATCCCGTTTGGCACAATTTCCAACCCTGAGAAGAACTGAACAATTTCTTCCTTTGTGCATCCAAACGGGAGTCCCCGAAGCCTCACAAAGCCATCATTGGCACTGTCAGCGCTGTTTGGACCACTGTGCTTCAACACCCAATCCATCTCGGTTCTGTGTGACTTGAACACCTCAATATATCGGTGTCCCATGCTTTCCCTGTCTTTTTTCAGAGCCAATTTTACATCATCTTCTGACTCAAGTTCAACAAAAGCCTCACCACTCTGCCTGCCTTCTCTAGTATAAATGAAATGAACACCTGCGACCCCATCATGAATTGTGCAGTCGGAGAGGAAGTTTTGTACGTCCTCAATTGAGCAGGACCAGGGTAGGCCACGGAGTTTGACCACATAGCCTTCACCTCCCTCAGGGCCCAGCATCATGGACACTTGACAAGGCTGATGTCACACAAGCTTGGGCAATTTTTTGTAGCTTAAAGAACCACCACAGGTGCCTTCTGTAGGAAACACTTATGGAAGGTACAAGTTTTCCACCGAGGCAGAAGTGACTTCTACTTTCAATAAGCAACGCGGCTTACGAACCCCAACTCCACCCAACGCTTTAAAAACGCAGAGAGCTCCGGGGAAAGTCCAGGTGCATCTTCTTTTTGTTCTCAACCTTCAGGAAGACGAGGCGCAGTCCTCCTTCCACGACGAAGCCGGAAGGATCGCATAATTTGTTTTTAATGCATGTATTTAACAGAGCATTCTCTTTTCCTTTTTGAATAGATGTAGATTGCTTTTACTTTTGTACTGACCTAAATTAAAATTTTACTTACAACTGAGTACATCATTTTTTTATTTACTTAAGTTGCTTATTTAATCCAAATTAAAGTGTACGCCTAAGAAGCCCTTCCAAATAATGAGAAAGAAGCTTTATTTTAACAGAGATCAAGTACTTATATTTAAAGCTCATGTGAATTTTCTCCCTAGCAATTACCTGAAACCTGTCTCTGAGCTTTTGACATTAAACACTTAAGCGCTGTTTCTTGATTTTCAATTAGTATATTCACTATCCTACTCCATATTTGATAAGTTGATTAATGAATCACCAGAGCAATTTCAGTCCTGTCAAAATAATGGAGAAGCCATGCTATTTGTTCTTACTAACTAAATTTAAGATGTTAATTCAGCCTCCGAGGCAGAATTGTATGCTGGAATCGATTGCATGGAAGAATGTGGAGTGGGTGAAAAAAGGGGTAGGTGTCTTCTAAAAGGTGCTAGAAAAGATACTGGGAGAATAATTAGATGTGAACAGTCTTTAAAGCTTATAATATCCTTACAACATTTTTTTAAATTCTATAATAATATTATATAATAATTTTACTTCAAAACTGCTATAAAACTTTGGTTCTTAAATGTCTTCCAATTTTTCCACATGCAAAGAACAGCTTTAATGATTTTGTTTGGACAATGAATGCCACCTCCCATTCCTCCAGGAGCCAATTATTCCTGTTGAAGCATTTGTTTGTTGTCACATATACAGGGGTTAGGTGACAGAAATCACAGGATTTCAAAAGATTTTTCAAGACAGAGAAAAAAGTATTCTTTAAAGTACCATGGAGGCAAACATGAAAAAAAAAAAAAAACAAACCTGCATGGGAAATCTGAGCCACTAATGAAAAATCTCTCCTTTCATGTTTCACAGAAGCAAATGAAATGTTGAAATCCCGATGCTTAAAGGTTTACAGTTGCCTGCAACAGCTTCTGTAGGAGATATCTCAGTCAGTAAGATGTCAGCTGAAATAGACTTTTGTCTTAGGGTCAGAATTACCAGTAATGCCTGTGAGAAGGTGAAATACCTTGGACTCCATGGTGGAAAACTGAAGAATTACATCATAGATATCACAAGTTTTACCAATCCCATAAACATAAAAACACTTTCAATGAATATGGACATTTTCAAAGTGTTTTTAATCAGATTATTACTGCTTGGTTTTTAGCTTTGAATCCTCAGAGATGTCCAAAAATCAAATTCTATAACTCAGTATTGTCACTATACTGCCATGAACAAAATTCTCCTCCTCTTTCAAATATCTTGACTGAACCTGTAACCCAAGGGTGACACTGACAGCCTTCAATGTCTGACTTCTGACATCCCAGCACTCCCGCCTGCAGAAACCAACATCCTTCACCTCTTCTATGAACATATGCCTATGGTCCTATCCTTCAGCAACACTGTTCTTGGTTGTCCTTGGTTACTTTAGTCTGTTCTTTATATTTGGTGTAGTTCTTGCCCATTATGTTTTCTACTTAGCCCATCTCATCTTTATGTTTTTCAATGACTCTTTCTATCTCTTTTCTCTACTGGAATTGAGGGAGTATGTCATTGTAAGAGAACAAGTCATCTGCACCTTGCCTCCGGCTGCAGTAAACATCGCTTTTCCAGAATTACTCTTCACAGTACCTTTTCAACCTGATCATATTTCCTGAAATGCCTCTCCATAAAAGAGCATTATGATGAGTTCTATCATTGTTATTATGATAGAATATTTTCTTGGTTTTGTAGTTTTTATTGTACCACATTCACTCATTCATTAGAACCTGTTAAATAAAAAAAAACATATTTACTCATTCATTATAACCTGTTGAATGAAAAAAAGAAATATAAATGGAAGGAAAGGATATGACATCTCCTAGGTATAGTGGAGGAGAAAGGTTATTGTAGATAAAGAGAGAGCATACATAGAAGCAGGGACATCTAGAAGATTCCAGAGTGGACAGGAGCAGGGTGTGCTGAGCCATATAGGGAGAAAGGAGGAGGAGAAGAGAGAGGGGAAACAGGCACAGCAGCCTGCTGTGGATATTGATCTCTCTGTAGCTGTGAATGTGTTGCTTTGATTTGGTTGATAAATAAAATGCTGATTGGCCAGTAGCCAGGCAGGAAGTATAGTATAGGCAGGACAAGCAGAGAGGAGAAGTCTGGGAAGTAGAAGGCTGAGTCAGGAGATGCTGCCAGGCACCACTGCCATGAGAAGTAAGATGTAAATGTACTGGCAAGCCACAAGCCATATGGCAACTTATGGATGAATAGAAATGGGTTAATTTAAGATATAAGAACTAGATAGCAAGAAGCCTGCCATAGCCATACAGTTTGTAAATAATATAAGCCTCTGTGTGTTTACTTGGGTCTGAGCAGCTATGAGACTAGCAGGTGAGAGATTTGTCCTGACTGCCAGCAGGCCAGGACACAGGAAAACTTCAGCCATATCAACCAGCAGGCCAAAGGTAGAAAAAGGGAGGGTAACCAAAATGGTTAGGTTATATAGGGAAGAGCCTCTGGGGAAATGACAGCCCAGCCCCTGGACTGGAGCATTCAGGATAGAGATCAGAGTACACCAGTCATATGCTGTGACTGCTGGACACTTCGATATGTTAAGTAGTTAATACCTCAGCCATTTGTCCTGGGTTTGAAACTTAACACTGCTAAAATGGTCTGATTACATATATTTCAAAATAAAAAGGTCCACTAGAGGCAATTGTACTTGAAATGGAACAACTTGCCATATAACATTTTATTAAAAGAAACTTATACAGTTCCATTTTAACTTAGCATTACATATATATGGCAATGAATTTTCAGTTTACACACAGAAATTGGTTTTCAATGATATGTTCCATTCTAGTTTTTAATTGTAGTGATAATAATGCACATTTTAGAGATGTCATGTGACCCTTTGATACATGTCCACATTACATAGTATATAATCAGGGTAAAGCTCACTAATTGACCCAAACATTGGTCCTTAATCTTTTGGTTATAGTTTTTTTCCTAAACATAAACTAGAAGAAATATCCACTACTGTAATCAGTGACACAGGAATATGAAGAATAACTAATTCTGATGTGACCAGTAAGGTTCCATGTAAGGAACAAGGGTTGGATGTCACTTCTGCAGAAAAGTCAGGAGACTGAAGTGGGAATCAAGGAGTACCAGAATTGACAGTGAATTTCTACAGCTGGTTATTGGTCAGTTCATAAAGGGATTCACAGTTGCAATAGTGAATCTTCATACAACAGTGGACTTTCAGAGACAAAGTCAATTCATGGTAAATGCAATTATGCAAAAAAAAACCCTCAACTAAGCAATTTAAATGTGAATGGATTTTTTTTATATTACATAATAATTGTCTTTTTAAGTTTTAAAGTAGTTTTAGGGTTATATCTATTTTAACATTCATCATATTTTAGGGTATATAAAATATGTATAGATGAATTTTTGTTATAGTTGGAATTTTCTTCATGATCTTATAGCATGAAGGAAGATAATAAAAAATGCAGATTAGAGCAGGATTGGCTATGTGGGACCATGTGTTTGTCATTCAGAGGGTCATTGTCCTAGTCCTAATGTCTTTGGTTTTTGATAAAAATTGTCCATAATAATTATTGAATGCAATTTTGTTCAATACATGTCTACCATATTAAATCCAAACTTTTATAAAGGATAAATCATGCAATGGTCTATTTACTAATAGTTTGAAACTTATTATGTGATACGGAATTAATGCATGTATATTAAATGTACCTGGAAACATTTCTGTGACTTTAAAAATACGTTCCACTTTTTAGTACTTGGAAATAGATAAAAAATTTTCCCCTTAGCTGCTTTAATTTTATACTCTACTTTCTGCAAAGGAGAAGACACATTCCATCTTGAAGTTCTCATTGAAGGATGTGAGCATGCCTGACATTTCCAACACAGCTGATATTAACTAGGCTCTGTGTCAGTTGTTATCAGTATTCGTCATGGTGGTTTGAAGAATGTTCAGCAATGGCATCAGGTACAGAGGATTCTATTGCATACTTAAGTGACTCTAAATAATATTTTGCAGTTTGTTTCCAAGAACATGATGTTTACATTCTGAAAAGAGTTCAAACATATGTACACAAGTGTGTGGAAATACCAGATATGCTAAATAAATGTGCGAATGAATATATAAGATGCTGAAAACCAAAACAAAATCCTTATTTTGGAACTTCACTGTGGCTTAAGATATAAAATCAATAGCTTAAAATATTAAAAAGTCATTTGCAATTCATACTGAAGCCTTTATCTCTGTTGTAGGTATTTTGCAAAGCTGTGTACATCAGAGGAGAAAAAAAAAATATGGCCTTAGACTAAATGTGGCCTTGCTGCTACTGGCTGGAGAAAAACTTTGAAATTGGAGTATTTTCTATTCAGTGTGTTCTTCCTTTGTCCTTTCTTTATAGCACCAGGGGCACTGTCTTCAAGGTACAACAGTGACCCCATGTTTAAAAAGTCAAGAACCACAAAACCATACATTGGGATAAGAAAAAGTTGTGGTGAACAATTTAATTATCTAATGATTTTTTTCTTGAAATGTATGACAAAAATCTTTATTTAAATCCAACTTAATAAAAAAGTCATCCTTTAGCAAACTTTGGACTGACTGTACATGAGATGATGTGTGAAACATGAATAGTAAAACGCAGAGGCACAGAATGCACATTGTTAGGGGAATACATATCATTTCCTTATAATTTAAGTGAAGTCTCCACAGTGAACTGTATTAAAATGTACTGAAAGCTGGCAAGTAACTATAGAAGAATAAAATACATGTTAAATTTAATTGACTTTAGAAATGCAGTTTCATTAATTTACAATAAAATTAGACCCTGGTATTTGGGGAAATATT